TTACACACATCAACAAAGCAGTCTGCTTCACCGTAGAAAAGTAGTGCGCACAAGAACGAAGCTACATGTTTTGGCAACGTTGCTTTCTCAACAATTATGAATGAACATAATGAGAAATTTGGATGAGACATTATTTTTGAAGAATTCCGCTCGGAAATCCATTTCATTCCATTTTTGGCCATGTGTAAATTCTTCCATATAAACCAATGTAATCAAACCGGCGCTCCGAGGTTTTCATACAAACTCCCCATGTAAACGATCCGAAACAGGCAAGAATCGAAAATAAAGTTTAAATTTTTTTTTCGATTCTAATACAGTATTTTATGTGCTCAATCCATTGTTGTTATCGCCACATCGAAATTTGCGCTCCTTATCACTTATTTTGCATTATGTGTGTGTCGTTTATTCAGACAATATTTTTGTGGGGCACTTTTACTGAAAGAAGGATGTGACTCGTCACTGAAAGCTGTAGACTCTACGTTTTAAAATCGTACCATCAGTCCACTCAGTCACAGTCTTCTTTTTTTCGAGATGACAGCATTAAGCATAGTCTTCCATTCCTCTTTTTTGTATTTTTTTCAAGAACTCAGTTAATACAAATATGATATTTCATTTTTTAGGAAATTTATTGGTGATTCTTGTTGTAACCATGTCACGCAGACTAAGATCAATAACAAATTTTTTCTTGGCGAATTTGGCGGTGGCTGATTTATGCGTAGGAGTATTTTGCGTCATCCAAACGTTGACGTTTTACTTAATTGATAGGTAAGTAGAATAAAACAGTTATTATTTTATGAATTTGGCGCATTTGGTTTGTAATTGAAAATATGAAATAAAAACTTCTTATTCTGGCGTAAAAAGCTAATTTTATTTGCGAACGTTTTCGTGAAAACACCAACTAAAGTTTTGTTCAGAGCCTTGTGATGTGAAGGTGTCTTTACGGAAACGTTCGCAAATAAAATTTGTTCTTTACGCCAGAATTAGAAGTTTTTTTCTTCATATTTTCAATTTAATGATCAGTGTAGTACGTATAATGAACATTTATATTTTGATCTGTACTTTGTAAATTAAAGTTTAGGTAAACTGTCAAACTTCACTTCCCTAGCCAAGAGTTCAAGTAAAACAGTAACGTTGAAACACTTTGTTAATCACATAAGCATAGAAAAAAAACCAAAAATTCAAAGTAGAATTTTTATTAGAAGAAAATTAAACTCTTTTTTATAACTGAACTAGTTCCGTCTTAGCCTGGAGGCGAATGAAGCAGCCGCTTCAGGACTTAGCAATTTCAGGGGCCCCGAACTATTCAAAAACTCTTGAGATTTCAAGGAAAAAATAACAAACAAGTTCCCACCTCTTTTATATACCAAAATAAAACGAATTAAACATAGTAATCCAAACTTTTCTGCACTGCAACAATTTTACTTTCCTTCCGCTTAATGTTTGATCAAAAGATCATTTTATTTCATTATCGCTGATTATTTTGCCTAAAAATAGCAGTTTACCTTGATTAGGTATAAAATTGTCATTTTCGATGAAAATTTCAAGAAATGTCGATTTTGAACCAAATTTATGAGGAAGTAGGTGTTTAGTTGTTGGAAGACCCCCATTGTTTTTGCAAAATAATACCAGTTTGCCTTGATCAAAACCCTGAAAAATGATTTTTTGAGTGTTTTTCGATACAAAAGCGTCATTTTACAAGGACTTTCAGGTCTTCAGTCGGAGGCTTATAGTACAAAATCGGTATGTCAGAATGGGATCAAAATCAATCCGAAGCTTTGTTTCGATATGCCGAAACTTTCGGTTCTTACAGATCTCAATTATCTATTCAACTTTTTGAGTTATCGTGTTAACAAAAAACGTGGACGCGAACGCAAACGCAAACGACGCCAAACATCGCATTTTTGCACATTTTTCATAGTAAACAAAGAATTTTTGGGGGTAGATATGTCTTAATCGATGAGATTTGTTCCCATTTACATTGCCTAGTGTACAAATATGCGCTATTTGAAGTTTTTCGTGGAGTTTCAGTGGACCAAATGAGAAGGAGTCACAAAATTTTGGCTAGTAAAACCAATACTTTTCTATTCAAACAAAGTTTGCGGAAAAGTAATAGTTTAATCCCTTGAACAAAGTCAATGCATCGTTACATTTTGTATCAAATTGTTCATAAAAATTTTCTAAAAACGCTATCAAATGGCCGCTACAGAAAGATTTTTTGCTTATAGTTTTTGACTGACTCTATTGAACAGACTTAAAATTATCTTCCAAATTTTCAGCATAAATACATTCTTGAACTGATAAAGTTTGTTGATATGGCTTATCGAGTTTTGTGTTATTGTTGAAAAAATTAGGGCCCGGAATAATTTTGCTTCAGGGCCCCCGAAAGTGCTTAGACGGCACTGAACTGAACAACTGATTTACACACACTAAAAGTGTCAAAATGATAGAGGACACACTGACGAATAAAAACATTAAAATTTGGAATTAGCCCATATCAGAGAGACCGATATAATGAAATTGGCATAAATGTGCGAATTACATCTTGGCAGCTAACGCGTGCAAAGCAAAATGTTGAACTACAACACATTTTGCTTTGCACGCGTTAGCTGCTAATATAATATTTGAATTCAGTTCAATGTATTTCACTGCCAAATACTGACGACTTAGCTGAATATAATTTTCGTTCTACAATAGAAATGTCGATCAAGCTGCTTGGTACTAATTTTATTTGAATTGATAGATAATAATTGATGATGGATCGATAAAAAGTGCACAATTGAATGCTCGGTAAACATTGTTCAATGGCTATGGCACTATCGATGACCGATCCGTGTAACACAACATGAGACAGATAAATTCGTGGTTTTGAATCGTTCCATATAATAGTATATGGAATTCCTGCTTCCAGATACAGTTTCCCCTATTAACACTCCTCAAATCTACAACACTGAAAATTATAAATACAATTTATAATTTGACTTTTCACTAATCTAATAACGATAATCTACTGTATATGGAGTACTTGTCAACAGTTTGGGTACAACAGACATTGTTCATGGCGTTGTAAAATATGCTTATTAAACTATCGAAAAAAATGATTTTTTGTGAGTTGTTTTGTCCTTATTACAAAATTTGAAGAGCAAAATACTAAAGGCATTTATTATGGCCAATGCATACCATACACAAACATTTGACGGGTATTGAATATATACACAAAATTGATTTTAATCGTCAAAGATTGAAGCCTTGATTGGATGGTTGCCAAAACCGTTCACACGAAACTGAATTTTCATCGCATCTGTTCTTCAGACACATCAAATGAGTTAATCTATTCTATCGCTGAATATAATTTGTTTGTCTCTGAATGTATATTGCTTGACGTATTTCAGTGGATGCGATCGAGAGCATTATATGTTTAACTTGAGTTGTGGAAAAAGATTGTTTCGTTGGAACTAGAATTCACCAAACGATGTGTACTACGTACTCTCTATTTTACCAGCATAATCGTATAAATGAACATTACATATTCAATATATTTTTAATACCAATTTCCGCACGTATTGTTGTTTTTAAATTATAGACTGAAAGTAGAGTATGTCCCACTGACTTTGTCATGAAAGAGGAGCCTTCTTTCAACTTCGAAATGGCTAAAGACCAGTATGATCATTGTTGGCGGTTTTCGATATTTTTTGGGGTTTTCCACGAAACTGATATAATGACTTAACGTCTTCGGCGAAGTTGTAGCACATAAAATCTCTTATAACTTTCCTGTATAGTCATTACCTTTTCTTCTATCTAACATTCTCATCTTTGACCATTTTCGAATGGAAAGAAGTGTTTTCTGACAAAGGCAGTGAATCACACACTACTCTTAGTCTTGTTCAACAAATTCAAAATATATCTTGCTTCTAATCGAATGTATTGAAGGTAAAAAAAACCGAACGGTCGAACAAGCCAAAATTTCCGAACGAACGAATGAACAATTTTTGTTAATTTTGTCGAACGGTCGAACAAATCTATGGGTGAGATTGAGAGTGGAGTATGTTTTTTCTTCGATTTATATTTTTGAAAAGGCGAGTATGTTTTCTGATGATTCTGTTGGCGTTAAAGTAGAGTATGTTGTAGTCTAGCCTCCGCGGTCTTCATGGTTTTCGCGCAACTGATAAAAGATAACAACATGGTGTCTTCGGCAAAGTTGTAGTATTCGAGGTCTTCTATAACTAAGCTAAAGACATTTATCTCTTATCTCTTATCAGTTGCGCGCAAATCGCGCATATAAAAAAGCAAATTTTATATAGAACTTTTTTTTTCTTATCATTTTTCGCGCTTTTCGCGGAACTGATAAGAGATAAGAGATAATTGAATTCAGAATTGAGAAGACCTCGAGTGCTACAACTTGGCCGAAGACACCAAGTTGCTATCTCTTATCAGTTCCGCGGAAACCGTGAAAAACCGCGAGGACCCGCTAAAAACGAACATACTCGCTTTTAACCATTTTTAAGTCGACAGAAACTTGCTCTTCTGTTTCGTAACAAAGTCAATGAAACATACACTACTCTCAATCTCACCCATAGAAATATTCAACGGCCAGCATCAAGTTCAACTCTTGCTTTGTACGTGTCAAATAAAGAATATCAATATAGGGAAAATCTTTTAGATAAAGCCTATTTTGTTGGTTTTACGTGTTGTGCGATTACTGTTCTTGATATATTTTTATATTTTCAATTTTGTGACAGTTCAAAAGAGAACATGTCCTTCATCTCCTCATTGCTACTAATAAATGATGTACAATTCTTTCTTAATTTAATTTTGTAAATTTATCCTTCCGAACTCATCCATAGATTTAAGCTATCTTCGAATTCAGATAAAAGTGTTTGAAGTCACTTTCGAATGAATCGTTAAGTTTCAGATATCAATAAATTGATACATGTTTTCATTAAACACATTAATTTTTTTTATTTTCAGTTGGGTATTCGGGGAATTCCTTTGTAAAATGTATCAATTTGTTCATGCGCTCAGCTACACCGCTTCTATCTTCATTTTAATGATCATCTGTATGGAACGTTATTTTGCAATTATATATCCCATCACATGTAAACAAATTTTAACTCCAACTAGGTTACGTGTAAGCTTTTTCTATATTCGATTATTTCATTGAAATGAACCGAGTTGATTATTACTTTCAATTTAAATCAAGATATAAATCATTTTGTCGATGATGCAGCTAAGAATTAATGCCAGACATTTCGTTCTTGGGTTTTTTTTTTGAAAATTTAGCTGGTAATAGTAGGTGTGTGGGTAACATCAGCGCTGTACTCGATTCCTAAATTTATTTTTAGCCGCACCGTAACGAACATACATCTCAATGGGATTAGTGAAGAGATTTGCATAATGCATCGCGGACTTTTTAGCTCTAAACTTTTGGATTCAATAAACTTATCTGCGTTGTATTTATTACCTTTACTTGTTATGACGGTAAGTTCACAAACATTGTAATCTGTGCAATAACTTCTTTTTATGAATTCTAAAAAAGTATAATTTTTGGCCAGAAAAGTTGGACACAACTAATTAACAATCGGTGATAGTAGACTCTACTTGATTCAGTGCATATTATATAGAGAACGGTCAAAGTCTACTAGACTGAGTGTTCTGAGTAATTTCGTGTTTGCATTTAAAATACATAGATATACTCGACACTACTCGGTCCATAGTGAAACCAATTCAGCAAAACTTGTTCATCCCCTACAATGCACCAGCTATTTCTTTCTTCTAAAAAACGTTTCTTCTTCAATTGAAGATTCTTTATAGTCGTATCGCAGTTGCATTGTGGAGAAGCTCACAAGGAATTGAACGAAACATCGCAATGCATCATACACCTGCTGAAAATCATGGAAATGCCCAAACATCTCAAAACGCAGCATCAAATCGAACAACTACCAAATATGAGAAACGTCCAGTAGGCCCTACTGAAAGTCAGGTAAGCATACGATCTATGGATTTAATTTGTAAGTCAAAAATAGTAGGAGCTTCAAACTAATTTTTAAACTAAAAAAACTTTCGTACAAACTCGCGTAAAAAATTCATTTTATAAGATTTTCGACGTCAAAGCAGAATTACCCCTAGAAATAGAACTTTTTTGAACCTGGTGATGTTTAAAAGTTAATTGTCTATTTGAAATTATGTTTTTATTGAAAATTTAGGTTTCTGTTGATTCTGATAAAATAATTACAACGACTTGGCGTACACAGAGTTTTCACCACCATAGGCACTGCCATAGCCAACATAGTGGCCACAGTCATCATCCATCGCATTCTTCAAATAATGTTCTAAGGGCGAGAAGAGGAGTCGTGCGAATGCTTATAATTGTGGTTCTTACTTTCGCTATATGTAATCTTCCCCTGCATGCTCGCAAATTATGGCAATACATGTGAGTGTTAGTTGATTTATGATATTTTTAAGGCTAAGCATGGACAATAGCGAACAAAATTGGTACAGTAGCTGTCATTCAGATACAATCAGTGTATGTATAGAAATAAAAAATCATAATGCAAAAAATTACTAATTCGTATAGAAATTTCTATGCGATTTAAATCGCACACCTTATTGTTCTCATTTTATCTCACAGCTATAATAGTTTTATGTTTATTACCAGCTAAAATGTTTTTTTAAATTAAAAAAAACGCTCGAAATTAATGCATACACCCAATGTTGGTGAACTCCCGTTATTTTTACGAAAAAATGGCAGTTTTCTAAGACCAAAACGACGTCAGAGGTGTATTTCATCGGCATGTTTTTGTGTAACGTTTCAGAAAAATGTGCCGTTTTCAAATCGATACGTTTTTCTGAATTGTCAAACAAAAACACACCGATTCCAAATCGGCACATAAAAATTTAATTTCTATACCGATTTTCATAAAAATCGACTTTTTTTCTTTTATATCACATAAACATTGGCATGTGTGTATGGAACTTTTTGAAGTCCTTCTCAAATAATTACGAGCTGACTTTGCCCGATGGGTGTCTGAGTTGATCTAGTGTGCGAAATAAATACTTGAAAAAATCGTATACATGCAGGCTAGCGAAGCCATAGCCAGCTCTCCTGTAATACAAATGTCAATCTGAGGACGGGTTTCGATGTGGCCCGACACCAGCTACAACTTGGGCATATCGGCACCAGAATCTGTGGGGGTCAAAAAAATTCGTGGACACACGGAGACACGCACATCCAAATCGATACTTTCATTGAAAACCATGGTCAAACTGCCAATGCCCATAACTTTTTCGTTTTTGGACCAATCGGAAAGGTGGCGTTGAAAAGGTGGCGAGGTGGATCTTCTCTTGAACACCTCAGATCACCCCCTGGGTACCCCTTTAGTGGGATATGGATATAGAATCGAAAATTTATCTTGTCTAGACCATACTTTAGGCATGGTCTATATGGTGTTTCCGACTATTTGGGCCAAGACCTTTCGAACGGCACCTAACATGCTGGGGCCCAAATATTACCCTGTGAAAATAGCATACTTACTGTATATACATATACTCGTGACGCAAAAACTGGCATTTTTGATATTTGGCTTGAAATGCACAGTTGTTGGAGCGTCACTTGTCGAACTATCGTCCTCCGTGATATTTAAGTATATTTCAGCTACATTTTTAAGACCTTTAACATTTTTGTGTCATGTGATTTGATTGTTTCTGTTTCCATATGAATATTTTTCATGTTCAAGTGTCTTTTTTTCAGAAAATATTTTGGTGGGACACTTTTACTGCAAAATTGATTTCGGCGCATTTACAGAAAAAAAATATGAGTAGTTTGGAGCGAAAATGTAATACAGTAAGATGTAAGAATACATTTAATACATAAAATTTGAGTTTTAGGGGATGAACTGCTTCTGCTCAAATATAGTGTATGACCATAAGTCGATTCAATGCCGATTCAATGCCGATTCAATGCCGATTCAATGCCGATTCAATGCTATTTACTGCGATCCAATGTTGCACAATATTCTAATTCATTCGACTCTAGTACGTCGCGCATAACACAACCACACAATGGAGATACTTATATTGTATCAATGGCTATTTTAACAAAAAATCATAACTGCAGTTTTTAAAAATGTTGAAATGTTTCCTTTTTGAGGGGTCAAAAATGTTCCATAATCTGTTCTATCTAGTGCATATGTGTCGGTTGGAACAAAAATGGGAATACAGAAGTGTTTGAACTGAAGCGCAACATGATATTTAATGTTGAAAAATATGAATCGTCGCTTCAATAGAACAACATGGAAAATATAAATTTTTGGTGTGTCTGTTTATCACGAATATGATGAGAGAGATCTTTGTTCTACTACCTTTTTTTTTAAATATATCGTCTCTGGTTTAATTTAACTAAATAATATGAGCATAAAATCTAAAGTCACTAATAATTCTGTTCAAGACCCAGAAAATACTATACGAAAAAAGCTTGAAATAATATAATTTAAAAAACAAAACATTTTGTCATAAAAATTTGAATTCCCTATAATTTGTTTCAGTAGTCAAACAAATACATTTCTTGCAGTTTTAAAAATATTGGCGAGCGAAGCGAGCCAAAATTCTCAATAAATAAAGATAAGAGAAAGTTAAAATATAACTAAAATTGCCGTTTCAATGAATAATCACAACTGCATTTTCCGAAATTCATAACTGCATTTTTGAAATCACAACTGCAAAAAAACACAACAACTGCAGCTTAAAATAGCCATTGTATTGTATAGAATTGAATAGCATTGATTAGAATTTATTTGGATTGAATTGGCATTGAATCGGCATTGAATGCAGTACTAGATTACTGCTTTCCCCCTTAATTTTGACCGAAATAGAACCAACCGAATATGAGGCAAGAAATAGGTGAGAACACTTCTCGACTCATAGGTTCTGACATAGTCTGATCTCGTTGATCCTGACCCCCCCTGGCAAAATTTGACCCCCAACGATTTTTTTGGACCCGTTGCCATTTTCGGACCTTTTTTTTTTTGCTCCTCAATTTTGCTGCGAAGGGAACATTAACACTAGATAGAATGCATTTTTTTTACCCCGCATTGATTATGAAAACGATTTTACACTAGATAGAATTGAGTTTTGAAAGCGAGGACCTTTTTTTTTTTTTTTTTTGCTCTTCAAATTCGAAATCGTGGATCACCTAATGCCTCTTCAATGGCTAATACCTTGATAAAAGTTGTAGATATTGACGAGCCAAACAAAACCTTATCATCATTTTTTGCCGAAAATTGGCTGGAGTAATGGAATTGGTCGAAATGTTGCGATCTAAGATGGCTTCCGAAAACACCGTCATGAAAAATTTGATATGGGGCTTGCGTCCTGATTTTATATGGTACTCATATGCGTTCTTTGCGCCAAACCTATTTTTTCGAGGTATATTTTTTGGAACTGGCCGGGGAGGGACAATTTTTTTTTTGAAGTAATCCAAATGTCGTTGTCGTTAGTGTGAAGAGTATAACGAAAAAAAACAGCGATTCTATGTGTACAGAATCGTTATTTTATGTTAAAATCTTCACATTTACGATAAGCTGCGCGAAGCGTGTATGCACATCACATGTGTCACTCACTTCTTGGCTGGAATTCCAAGTCATTCCACCAAAATCGTTCGGAATTATTTTTTTTCGTACATAAGACCATATTGGAGTGAAAGAGAGAGATTCCACTATTTTTCAGCGTCCCACCGGAATTATTCCGATAACTGAAGGAAGAGTGGATTGTAACTCAATGAAGAGTGGATTGTGTGAGAAATAATTCCGGTGGGACGCTGAAAAAAAGTGGAATCTCTCTTTTCACTCCAATATGGTCTTATGTACGAAAAAAATAATTCCGAACGATTTTGGTGGAATAACTTTGAATTCCAGCCCTTGTTTCAACTCTCTTGGTGATATATTCAAGCATTACACGGGACACAACGCGTGAAAAATATCAGATATTTTCTTGCGATATTTCTATTCCATCTGAATAAAAAAATCCCATAGTATTCACTGAAAATAAATAAATGATATCAAGCCTATCAAAATTGATGTGTTTTTTAACGATTTTTTTAAATCCTTTTCAGGTCAATCAATTATCACGGTGAATCGAACTTCAGTGCTCTGTTAACACCAATTACATTCCTAATATCTTATTTTAATTCTGCATTCAATCCCTTGCTTTATGCGTTTTTAAGTCGCAATTTTCGCAAGGGAATGCGAGAAATAATCTTATGTTCATTCAAAAAAAGTAACAAAAAAACGCAACAACGAATACCATTACATGTGAGTAAATCAGTTTTTTGACACATTTATACATACAAGAATTTGGTAGCACTGATGATTTTAAACTCACAAAATTGAGGAGATGCAAAAAAGATAAAAAACATCAGACAGTCAATTTAAAGCATATTTGATATTTCAATAATTAACTTATATTTAATTTATATCTAGAAAGAGTATAGAAAGTGGATTGATTTCAGGTTAAAAAAAAACCTTGAAATATAAAAAATACATAGACTCATGTACCTATCATTCAAGATCTTGACTCGTTAAATTGATACAAATTCCAACATCTGCATCAACGGCCAAGAATTGTAAAAACGTTCACTCAATGATGATAGCAACGGATACATGAATGCACTAGGATAGAAACAACTCCAAAGAACAAAACAAAACACCGCTTTTTCATATCGCGCTCAGTAGTATAACTAGGCGGTGTCTCAAAACTAACCCTCCCCCAAAATGATATCGTCCCAATTTTCGTTAAGAATTATTACTATAAACCAAAAAGGAATGGATTCCAGGGAAAAAAATGCAGTAATATCGTATTGCAGAAAAAGTTTGATAATTCACAACATCCATATAAAAAAGTTTGGAAACTAACCATTTACAAACACCATCTGTAATCTTTTCAGAAAAGTTTTCCTCAGTGTACATTATTATCGTAAAAAATAAAAATTAATCGTTTATCAAATAAAAATGAAGATGAAAAAAGATATTTTGGTGTGGGCTCTATTGCGTTTTTTTCCAAATGCGTCATGACCAAAATAAAATATGTATAAAATTCATTTTATACCTTAGAAATACTCTGCTAAAACTTACTTCGAGCTCAATTTTATATCTTTTGGTATTTCAAAACCAATGTCGTTTTCATGAACGAACCAGAAATTGTTTTCCATTTCAAATTCCATTTTTCGATATGAGTATAGTGGTTTGTTTAAAACGTTTGTTTGTTGGTTTGGCAATGTCAAACTTTGACATGAACGTCTAATTACTTTCGTAATTTACTAAAGTAATAGCGTACCAAAAAGTAATAGTAAAAGTAATTTGATAGTTTTGAAAAGTAATTGAAAAGTAATTCAAAGAGTGATTTTACACAAAAACTGCTCTTTTTCGTGAAAGTAGCTGTATGAGAGTTAAAATAGCTTTGTGTTCACATGACCAGGGATTCAAATTGGCACTCACCCAAAAAGTTTCTCGAAAGAGTCGTTCTTTCAAATGAACTTTTTATGAAATTTACTGTGTTCAGAACACTGTGTGAGAATTATAGCAATATTTTCAATTTAAAATTTTCTTTTCTTTTCTTAAAGAGAGTGACTACTAGAGTGAAAAAAGGTTTTCAAGGAGACCCTAAAGTGTTTACATTTTCTGCCACTATATGCAAATCAAATATAATTCTAGTTTCTTCGTTGGGGGATTTCACATCGACTGATGATTCCCTGCACATGAAAAACTCTCTCTTTGAAGATATATTGGCTGGAAAGTGAAGTTGAAGAATACCTAAGTTCTCTCAAGACCACATCAACTTGATCGTTTACAAATGTCAAATATGATCACTTTAAGGATGCATGCTTCTCCCTCTAGGGGCGAGACACGAATTCTATTAGAGTCTAGTTACATTCAATTTTATATATTTTTTGCTTCATGTCCTCTAATTTTTCTAGTTCTGGTACAAAAGTGCTAATATTGTACTATTATTTCTAGTAAAATCGCTTGCAGAGCGTATTACACTGTGAATACAACGCTTATGGAAGACCTAACGGGACTATTTTGTAAACAATAAACAATACGTCCATAAGCGTTAACATTGGCGTTAACATTGGTTATCTATCAAAATGCTAGTGAAACTAGACTATTTAAGTTGCTCACTGTTTTCACTAATTCTTCTTGGTGTCTTCGGCTTATTTGTAGTTCTTTTTATTTTCTACAATAATGCCGAAGACCCAATTATCTATTTCCAGCAGCGAGAAAAATCCAGAAAAGTCTTTTCCGCTCAATGCTGAGTTGTGTCACTTTTGCTCGCAACTTTATTTTTCTCTTTTTTGCTCTAAGTTTTTTTCCGTGTCAGTTATGGATAAAGAGCTCATATGTTGTTCATTCTATAGATGTCAAATGCAGATTTGACGCCGAAATGGTTGAAAACCAGAGAATGTCTGCCGATATTCTAATTTATTTGAGTGGCACTTATTAGATATTTTTATATTTCCAACGCGCGAAGCAGAAAAATGGGGAAACAGAGAAGCGGAGAAACTATTTCTCGCAGTTTTACATTGCCAATACATTTCCTTATGGAGATTTTTGTTTTGTTTATTTACCGTTATTTGTCAACATGTCTGCCTATATTAACGCATTGCCACTGTATATAGTATATGTCCAGCTGTAGCGTATTGGTTAGCATGCTAGCGTTCTCTTCAAAATGTCATTGGTTTCATCAATAGGATTGTGAATTGAGAGACTACGAACCATGTGGAGGCCTGTGGCGAGCTTCGGGAGGCACTTTAAACCGTGGGATCCCGTGCATTATATACAGAAGATGAGTACAATTGAGGGGTTTAGAGCGAAAATGTAATACAGAAAAGTTGAGCGGAAAAATGTCAAATGAAAAGAGATAGCTATATAGTTCACTATAGTTTACTATACAGTTTACTATATATA